CAGCAGCTGATAATGTTGTCAGACTCCTTCCAGGGAAAGAGTGGGAGTGGGCATTTTTGCCCACTCTTTCTATGCTGCACCCTGGGAGGACAGCCAAGGCAAATGCTCATGCATTCATTAACAACTGATTCTTGTTGCCTGTAGTCATGTGGGACTTGTGAATGCAAGCGCAGTTGCCCTTCAGAGCTAGGCCATTTGGAGGTCTGTCACCTGGGTGGCATCCTTAAAAGTTGGGGCACTAGATGTGTGGTCCACACTCTTTGCTTCTCAAGGAGAAGCTGGGAGCTGAGGGTTCCTCCTTAATTGTATGGTTTCTGTGTCAGGGGAGGAGTTTATGGTGAAAGTGTTTTCCAGCCTTTCCTATTTTGATGTTGGTATTTTCTCATTCACCTGTTGTGTAGGAGGCATTCAGCTTGTTGTTGGATTTCTCTCAAAGGAAATTGCTCTATTTGTAGCTATACATTTGGTATGTCCATGAGAGGAGGGCAGTTCAGACCAGTTCTTGGTCTGGACTCCTGTACTACGACATTCTTGCTCTAGAATATTGGTTCAGCTATCCATACATCTTTTTAGGTAAAAATTTGTCCAAATATTATGCCCTTATTTTATTACATTGTATAAGTTGTATTAAGAGTTTTTATATGTTCCTGATCAGCGATAAGGCCATTTCTCAAGGTCATATTTGCAGAAAACAACCTTAAGAGATAGGTCAACACTTTTCCACTAGATAGCAAGCAAGCTTGATCCCACATCTTTAAAATTATGTTTACCTCCTATAAGGTAACCCCATGCATGTGCAGGCATTCATATGGATACTTGTCTTGTGCCCAACATACGTAAAGGTTGAGGGAGAGCCATTGCCAACTATATGATATTCATGCTCTGGCTTCAGTAAAGTCCTGTATCTCTGACCTAGGAGTCTGTGTCTTCTGCTGTGGCATCCACGAAAACAAAAATAGGCTACCTTTTAGCATACAAGTAGGGTAAAATCTTAGACCCTTCACAGATCCTAACAGGACATGATTCACTTACTTGGAATTAGTATGATCCTTTCGAGGCATGCTTTAAAGCTTTGTCAGGGCAGTTCCAGAACTAGTTTCAATCTTGTTCCACTACTGAGGCAGTACCTAGCTAAGGACTTTACTCAGTGCCTTTGTGTGTCCATTCTTTCTGGTGGGTACAGAAACTATTCTTGGCTCCATGTAAGCTTTGGGAGCTCACCTGCTCATTTGGTGGTTCTTTCTCTAGCCTCCGTATTTTCTTCACACATATGCACCAAGCTTTACTCAGCAAAGATTCTGGAAGGATGGATGCAGACCTCTGGACACCCTCCCTCTGTGCCATCCTCCTTTTCAGTCCTTTGAGTTCCCTCTCCGTGGGCTACAACCTGAAAACTAGCTGTGGCTATTTATGCAGCTTTGCCCATTGTCTCCTCTTCTCTCAGAGTTCTCTGACCTGTGCTGCTTATTGTCCAAAGTCTGAGAAACCCTGTTTCTTACACTTCACCTGATTTTCTGCTTGTTTAAGGTATCAAGGTAAATTCCATACCTGTGACTCCACCATTGTTGTAGGCAGACAGCCCGTTTCTTAATTCCTCATGTAGATTGCTTAGCTTGTCTGTTTTCATTCTTTCATTTAATGTGAAAAACCTATTCAGAGCTCTGCGTTTCACCCTACTGCCTCAGATGCATCTCACACAGCCTTTGACATGTAGAACTTTCTGTAGTTCGGCTTTTAGTGTTCTTCAATTTGTCTTGTTACTTCCACTTCATTTAACTATGAATTCATTTAACTATTTAGTTTATTGACCTTTTTATTATTATTACTGATGTGAAGTTTTACCGATTTTTATGTAGAGATTATGGTGCATAGGTTGATTTTTTGGAATTTGTTGAGATGTCCTTTGTAGTCTAATACATAAAACATCCATACATTCTTGAAAAAGTGAGCATTCACTATATGTTTATAAAGCTTATATAATATATATTTAGATTGTGGTTGTTAATGGTGTAATTCACATTTACTATGTATTTGTTTATATTTCCAGTCAGTCCATTTCAAAGAGAGTTGTATTAAAATTTCTAAGGAAAGATTGTACCTGTTTCTCATCATAGTACTGTCAGTGGCTATATACTAGGTGGATATATATTTATGAACATTATATCTTATGGATATTATTATATATCATCTATATTTATATATTGCTTTTTATGAGCAAATTATGTATCTTTTTAAATTGCTTGCTCTAATATTTAATATTTAATTTTTCATTTGGTTAACATTTACCTCATACATATTTTTCCCCATCTCCTCCACCTATCTTTTTTGTTTTTTGTGGACTGTTTAATGCTAGATATTTTGTAAATCAGATCTGAGTCTATCAGTCACTGAATTTGACAAACATATTCTTACTGTACTTGTTGTTTGTAGGCTTTATTTCTACCATTCTTTTAAACTGAAGTATAGTTGACACACAATGTTATGTTAGTTTCTGGTGCACAACATGGTGATTCAACAACTCTATACATTATGCTGTGCTCACCACAAGTATAGCTACCATCTGTCATCATACAACACTATTATACTACCATTGACCGTATTCCGTGTGCTGGGTTCCTTTCATCCTTGTGACTTATTCATCACCACTTATATCTGCCATCTTGTTTCATGTTGTTATTCATCATGCTCCTGTTTTTTCTCCTCTCCTGCTTTCTGTTATTTACAACTCCGGCTTTATTCTTTTTCTTTGGAAAGTACAAGTTCTGTCTTGTTTTCCTTTTGACTGATATCTCTAATTTGTTAAGATTGATTCTATTCATTTTTCCCTTCTAATATGTAAACCTTAGTATCTTGGTCTTCCCCCTCTCTAATAATCTTTTCAGTCTTTGAACTCACCTCTCTACTATGACCTCCCTTCTTTTCATGTTGGCATCCTCTGGAATTTTTGTTCTATATTTTTTATTCTTATTCATGTAACAATAAATTTGCCAAGTTATTACTTGCCATTGATTTCCTTGTTTTGTCTGGAATTCATTTCTCTTCTTGTTGGAATACATCCTGCAAGATATTTTTCAAAGAGGATCTGTCATTTTGTGGTACATTTTGAGACTGGTACCTCTTCTTAGGCTGTGCATCTGTGGACACACCCAGAAACACTTCCATTTTTCTTCACTCTTTCATTCAGCAGCTGCTCAGTGGTTACCTGTTATGTACCAGGTATGACCCTAGGTCTGAGGAAGGAAAACCAACAAAAATCTCTGCCCTCTGGAGTTTATAGAGGGTGCAGAAGAGAGCAGCAGAGAACGCTTAGGCCTGAATCCAATCTTTAGTAAATCTGAGTTCCAGCAGAATTCCAGAGCTGCCATGATGTTACCTTGTTATTTCTGGACGGTCCTCAGCAGGAGGGGCAGCTTTTTTATCACATCATGATGACTGGGCAAGTGATGTTTTAATCAGGGAATTCTGGGAGAGAAAAAAAGCCCAGCTAGTGAGCCCTTCCCAGTCCATCTCCTTTCTGTGGGCTATTGATTCTGCCTCTTTATATTTGATGTTTGCCATCCACTTTAGGATAACTTCTTCCTGCTCCCCTGGGGTTTCTTGTCTGTTGATATTTTTGTTGTTATAATTGTTGTTTGTATTTGCTAATAAGTAAGGTTCTGAAAACCACCAAGACTCAGTATTATCTGTAGTATCTCTGGGATTTTGTAGCAAAAGGAGTCCAGCACCCTGTGGTAGTTCTTCATCTTGTCCAAAATTGATAGTCCTAGTACAACGAATTATTATTTATTATTATTAATTACCATTATTATGGGAGGAAGATGCAAATGACAGTCAAGGCTAAGAGAGTTTTCACAGATGCTGATCAAACATATCCTTAATTTGAAAGAGAAAAATTATGAAATTTAATTATGTATTTTGACCGAGCCTAGAAGTTATCAGAACCTTGGGGAAGTTTTATCTGCTTAACACCGTAGGGAAGTTAACCATGTGGGGAGAAGCTGAGGCTGGACCAGCTCCTCCTGCCAGCTCATCACAGGAGTCAGGAATGAGTGAGCACCCTGTGGTCAGAGTGTCAGTAGCAGCCTTAAATTTTCGAAGAAGCAGAGGCAGCTGCGTGTGACTAAACTGTGTTGTCCATCTGCCAGCAACCTGGCAGTGTGTCTTTCTTACCCTAAATCATTTACTACTCCTACCTGTGAAGTCCTAATTTTTGGACACACCCTCACTGCCCTTGAGTTTTGTTTTTTTTTAATTTTTAGGCAAAGGATTTAATTTTGGATTTCATCTTAGTTTATGGCTCAGTAATTTCCTTGATATTCAGAAACCTGTTTCTGGGAAGGATGCCAACACTGCAGAAGGCAGTGGAAATGGACCTTTGTCTAAAAGTAACCAGAAAAAAAAGAAAAAAAGCAATGTAAATTTTGGGTACTGATTTTACGTTGAAAAACAATATGAGTTGGAGGCCGGAGCAAATGCCAAGAAAGTGTGAAGGCTGTAGAAAATCCCCCTTTTATAATTCCACTTGTACTTTTTTCTTTTGCTCCCTCATTTGTATTAAATGTGATTATAACAGAGGACAACAGGATGAGGTAATTGTATCGTAAAACAACAAAACAGGTTGCGTACCTAAAACAATAGTTATATTTAGTGACCTAACAAAGTCATTGACGTTAGAATAATGTCAATAAGTGAAAGAAAGCATTAGGACAATGGTGATGTTCTAATGTAAATTAAAAAAAAAAAAAACGGGCATTAATAAAAGACAGTTTTATTGTTATTTTAAGCTAAATTTAGTCACGATGAGAATGCCCCTGCCAAGGTGGGTTTTGAACATAAGCACTCTGCCATGCACTCTAGCCATCTAGTAGGAGCACATAATAGAAAACTGTTCATCTTAAGCTAATGAAATGCCAATTGTGATTAAAATTAAAAATTTGGGGCATGTTCTTCCTTTAGCTAAACTAATTAAACCACACACACACCTAACTCTCTCCCTCCCCCTCCCTCCCTCCCTCCTTCACCCCTTCCTCCACCCCCTCAGGCTCACACACACTAACATATAAACCCACTAGGTTGTAGTAGAAACTGTTTTTCCTGTCAGAGAGTCTTCCTGAATCATAATTTGTTGAACTGAGAATCTGAGTCCTGCAGCTGTCAGACGTGTTCTGTGGGTTCCCAGGGTTGTTGATTTCCTCTGCCATAGCAGATGGAGTGCAAGAGAACAGAAGAGAATATCCATTTAACTAACAGGAGGCAGGCATATTAGTATTCTAAATGTATTCGTGTATTAAAGACAGACACTGGCTATGTCTGAAAAAAGTACCATAGAGTTATCAAAATATCATCGATAACACATTGGTAGTTTGACAGTGGTTATATCCTTTTAAAAAATCACTTGAGGTTTACCCTGGTATTAACTATACCATATAGGTGGGTAGAGCATAAATACATAGTGTACCTACTAAAAGACATTTGCTTCAAAGAAATGGTTGAATTATAAAAATGCAGATATATTTATTACAGTGCAGCAATTATTAAAAGATATTTAAAAATTATATCACTAGGATTGCTAATATGTTTGAAATTTAATTATTCAAGAAGGAAATTTATTTGCATATTACACAGTAGACAGTACTGCACAAAAAGGCAGGTAACCAGGTCCTAGTCCCTTTTCTAAGATCTCTAAAGCACATCTCTTAAAAAGGAAGAAATAGTACCATAACTACTGCAGACAGAGGAAGGTCAGAATTCCTTCCTTCCCTTTCCCCCCATTTTTTTTTGTGGTAAAGGCCAGAGTTCAATTTAACTTGCCTTTTATTTCAAACATCAATGACTTGTTTGTTACTGTAACCTGGGGTCATAAAAAGGGAGGAAGGAAAAAACTATACATTTATGGATTCCCTGTGTATCTAGGGAGCCACTTTCTATGTTATTTACCCTCATTCTCCCCGTCTCCCCCCAAAAAATGAAAGAGAAATAAGAGAACTGATATTCATTGAGTACCCACGTGGGTACATTACCTATATTTTTTGCATTTACTTCCCAATGAAATTCCATAAGTATATTTTATTGCCACCATTTCAACAATTTAGACCAGATTAAATAAATTACCCAACACAACACAGTTAAAGATGGAGCCTGAATTTAAAATTAGGCCTCCTTTAAATTTTTTTTAATGATTATTTATTTATTTTTGAGAGAGAGAGAGAGAGAGAGTGCGTGCGAGCAGGTTAGGGGCAGAGAGAGCGGGAGACAGAGGATCCAAAGCAGGCTCTGCGCTGACAGCAGTGAGTTCGATGGAGGGCTTGAACTCACAAACCAGGAGGAGATCATGCCCTGAGCCGAAGTCACTTAACTGACTGAGCCACCCAGGTGACCCTTCAATCCTCCTTGACCACCTTGACTTCACAGCTGAAGCACTTCGAACTCACCTTCTAAATATTCATTGTTTCTTATCTTCAAATCTTTATTTCTACACAAAGACTTGAATTTATTCATAGAGTCTACGTTGTGTTTTGATTTTTTGTTTTGGGAGGGTTTTGGCTACTTTGGATGTGTTTATATCAGTGTCTCTAAGTATGTCATGAGTATTCAGCAATATCGTGGCAATAAATTAAAGCTTAAGACTTCCTTCTGAAATATTCATGGTAGGCAAAACAAAAAGTATGGAATCCAAAAAATTGAATGGTGACTTTTTTTTTTGCCACATTATTGACAGATACAAGCTGTTCACATTTTGTTATTGGGTAAATTTTTAGTCCTGTTGTAAATGCCATCCTTCTCATCTTGCAAAGCTAATTTCAGAAAAGAAAAGCATTTTTAAAACAGAATTTGGTAATTAGAAGAGACTTATCAAGGAATCGCATGGTTGGAATTTTTATATGTTTGGACCTCACAGCAGTATATGACAGAAAGGTTTTAGTAATTTTTATTTGAAAATGGATGAATACAAACTATTAATTTTCTTATGTTACACTGTATCCTAGTAGTTTCTAAACATGGGAAATATACGTATACCAGAGATTACCTGTGAGCCTTACTTGTTCCTACCCCTATGGGTACCCTCTTTTTGAATATAATAAAATTAACATTTTTTTGTTTAGTTTTTTGAAAGTTGGTTGGAAATACAGATTCCCAGGGAAGGCAAGAGCACCTGGGCTGGAGTAGATGCAGATTCAGTGGAGAAAGAATCACATGTAAAAGAGAAATTATTCTCAGGACAAGTGTCCAGTCCACATACTTTTCAGACCTTAAGAGCTTTCTGTTTCACAAGCAAGAGGGCTTTCTATAGAAGGGTGATTAGTGAGACGGGTCTGATTCTATTTCCAAGATAATGTGTGGGGGATATATAACCATAGTACTCAACACTGGTCACTTAAGACACTTTCCTGTTAAAATATTACTCCCAATTGTGGACAGGTTCTATCCTATTAGTGGTATTTATCAGGTACATTATGGATTTATTAGAGTGTTGTGAGAGCCCTGGACCTCCAGCTTCCTTTTTTCTTTTTTTTGTTAAAAAAAAATTTTTTTTAATGTTTATTATTGGGAGAGAGACAGAGACAGAGCGCAAGCAGTTAAGAGCAGAGAGAGAGAGGGAGACACAGAATCTGAAGCAGGTCCCAGGCTCTGAGCTGTCAACACAGAGCTCCACATGGAGGTTGAACTCACAAGCCTTGAGATTATGGCCTGAGCTGAATTTGGACGCTGAACTGACTAAGCCCCCAGCTTCCTTTTTTCTATGGGGAAATTCACACCGAGTGCCACCATTAAATTTTTGGAATCTTAAAAAGTAGCTTGTAAAGTCAGTGAACAAAAATTTCATTCCTCAATTGAGACATTAAATAAGGAAATCAGCATATACAATTTAAGTTTGCTCACTAGGTCTATAAATAATACATGTGTGTTCTCTTTTATTGTTTTGTATATTGATGGATTTTATGACTATATAAATATTTGAAAGACTAAATACATACCCTTACTTAATAAAAACCAATAAAATAGAATGGCTTTCCTCTTTAGAAGGTTTATGTATTACTTTAATTACAAAAAAAAAATAAAAGAAATTGTAGAGGAATACTAAATGCAATAAAAACAACTAGTTGAGCATTAATATGATAGCATATCAATATAGTAAACCTCTATTCATTTACCTTGATTTAGGTGTTAATTTGCTCAGTTTCTTCCTGTAGTCAGTTCATTTTATACAGTGAAAGAAATCTAAATGAGACAAAAATCAAGGCATTTTACTCCCTAACAGATGTTGCAAAACAAATTTTATCTACTTTGTCTTCCCTCATAATTGTTTCACCGACTTTTGTACTTCAGGGGAAGAGGGGAAAACATCATTGCAGTCATCTCCATATCATGAACCTCTGTGAAAAAAATCACAGAACACATAGGATCTCCCTACATTTTAGTAGCTGTCACTTGTATAAGAATTTTCGTAATTGATTTAATATTTTCTTGGCCTGAATAATGCAACTGAAATTCCATGCCACCACCCCATCCTCATTCTCTTGGTTGCTCGGCAACATAGAACAAAGCAGAGACCCAACAGAACAAAAAAGCAGGTTTAACTGTCACAGAAATGAAACGTTTTCTTTCAGATCAGAGGAAACGCCAGAAGTTATCTGTTGATATATATATCTAATATGTGTGAGTATGCATGTATGTACCTAGAAATTTAATTCTCATAAGCAGTAGGAGTAGAGGCAGTTGCCGCTGATGAAATTTAGTCAACAAGCTTACTTAGCTATTCAAATAGAGATTCAGTAGTAATTAAGGTAGTAATTTGCCCATAGCCTGGATTTCTTTCCTTAAGATAGGAAATGAGGATTGGAGTTAACTGACTTCAGGGATGGAGGACTGGGGGGTATAAAAGCTAATAGAAAGGCGTGCCTTGCAAAGTTAGTCACAGTTGAAACCAAACAGTTGTTCTTGTATGCAAGGATTAGAGCCTATCTAATATAGGTGAATGTAATCACAAACAAGTTCGTCTATGGTTATAAAGTTTTAAGTGTTCTCAGAGTTTAGGATGCCTTTCAGATGATAAGAATCGTTTTAATCAGATGTTTGATTTCACTTGAGAAGTAAAATTGTGAGTATACTTCTTATGCCAGATGTAATTTAACTTAACAGAAATGATTATTCATCACAGCCGAAGAGATCTTGATTAAAAATTCCAAAGGATATCTCATCTATGAGAGGCAGTGCAATGAGTTACCAATGGGAGTATGAACAGTTTTTTTCTAGGCATTTTCTTAAAAGCCTAGCGCCATATCAACTTCTGTTTGAATTTGTAGCAGGGCCTTTTTGCTTTAGGTTAAAAGGATGTGATACACATGATCGCTTCCTGAAATTTCTCTTGGTGTGTGATTCTGCAGTGTGCTTTAAAATATTGATATTTATAGTGATCAGATTTTTTTTTAACATTTATTCATTTTTGAGAGGGAGAGAGACAGAGCATGAGCAGGGGAGGGGCAGAGAGAGAGAGGGAGACACAGAATCGGAAGCAGGGTCCAGGCTCCAAGCCGTCAGCCGAGAGCCGGACGCAGGGCTCCAACTCACGGACCGCGAGATTGTGACCTGAGTCGAAGTCGGACGCTTAAATGACTGAGTCACCCAGATGTCCTGATATAGTTATCAGATGTTTTAAAGGGTAGCTTCCTATATTAAAATCGGCAACATTTGTAAGACTTTAATGGGGGAAGCTTTACTCGTAGACATCTACTGTACTTTTATGCAGAATGGCTTATTAAAGAGAGTACAGTTGACTCTTGGGCAACACAAGACTTAGGGGCACCAACCCTGGGTGCATTTGAAAAGTTTGTGTATAACTTCTCATCCCCCCAAAATCTTAACTACTGATAGCCTACTGCTGACTGGAAGCTTAACCAGTATCATAAGCAATCAACTAATACATACTTTGCATGTTATATGTGTTATATACTCTACTTTTACAATAAACTTAGAGAAAAGAAAATCATAAGGAAGAGAAATAAATTTTTTGTACTGTATTTATGGAAAAAAATCCATGTAGAAGTGGACACATGAAGTTGAAACCTGTGTCGTTTAAGGGTCACTGTATTCTTAGACTGTATTCGTAAATTTGAGAGGTGGGGAATATGCCACAAAATGAAGCACCTCCTCCAGACACTTAGTTTAAATCATGACGATATAGTCAGCCTGGAGCTTAGTTTTATTTTCAACTAGTCATCTGCAGCCAGGCTTCCCACAGAGGGAGGTTTCCGTATACACAGTGCACCATGCAACTTGGATGAACAGCATTAGAGGCTACTTACGAGCATATTATATCTGGGATCTACAGAGAGCAGCCAGAGCAGCAAGACAAAAGTGCTGATCACAGGGTATTTTCTATGTAGGTTTCCTGCCCACCTGATGCTCACCACTTTTCTTCAGTACAGACTATAGTGGGAAAAAAAAATATGTTTCTAACTTGATTGTTTTTCTGATAAATCCAGCAAGTTTTTCTGATTTTTCCATTATTATTCATAAGGACACAGTTACATTCTACAGACATATTTGTGTTTTTCAAGTTAATTTAGTGACTCACAGCTGAGGCAGTAAACTGGGGTGGCCACTGTAATGCTAATGAGACTTGGTGAATTTGCCCACTCGTGTCAGAAAGTGGTGTGCCTTACGTAAGCAGGTGTACATATGTTCAGAGGAGCAAATACACAACAATAAAGCAGTGCAGATGGTCCATTAGTAGAGGAGCATGGCAGGCTTACATCTTAGGATGTAAGTATTCAACAGATACATCGTGAAGAAGTAAGATGCAGTAAGAACTCTGGACACAAAAATAAAAAGAACATTGCCTTGTCCTCCAGTGGCTTGTAGTCTAATTTACTTGGCTACAGCAGAGCAGGGCACATAAAGACAGACTGGAGCTTGAGGTCCATCGTTCTGTCAGAAGAGGAAGGATGGCAGAACATTGAATTCATCTGCATTATCTGTGATATCCAGTCTATAAACAAGAACACTGTCCACAAATTGTGGTAGTTGGCAGTTAGGAGAGGGACTGCCCTAATTTGAAGTCCTGAAGTATCCTAAAAGAAAGGTAGTGTGCAGAGAAGAGTTAGCATGCCAGGCCTGAGATTGATATCCTTACAAAGGCTGGTTTGTAAGGTTGGCCTTTGGCTGGTGTTTGGGAACAGGAATGATAAACAGTTGCCTAGTGATTTAAAACGTCCTCTAAATGGCAGGAGTGGCTTGCAGCGTACTGTGTCTAAACTATTTTTACAAACAGTATGGTTTATACTGAACATTTATTTTCCCTGCAGGAGGCTGAATTTTTATTTGTGCTAGGCAGAGAATGCCTATGTGACTAGCCCCCAGTAAAAACACCAGGCACTGATGCTTTAATGAACTTTGCAGGTAGACAACATTTCACAGATGTTGTCACAACTCTGTGCTGAGGAAATTAAGTGCATCCTGTGTAACTCCACTGGTAGACTCTTGGAAGCATATGCATGGTTTCCTACAGACTTCATACTGAGAGAGCCTTTTCCTGGACTGACTTTATTTTGAGTCCTTCTGCTGTAATATGTAACCATCATAAATACAACAACTTCTGCATCCTGTGAGACCCTCTAGTGAATCACTGAGACTGAGGGTTGGTCGTGGGCACTCCCAACAAAGGCAGAATCTGAATTTCAAACCACTGTGTAGCAGCACAGAATTTGATGGAGAGCAGTAGCTTCTCTGTTGTTCTTAAGTCCACATATGAGACTCCAAGAGCTTTTGGTCCAGTTTGAAATGTCTCTTCTTCACTCCTCCTGACAGTTATAAGAGGCATTCAACCTACTCTGCTTTTCCCACCTCCCCACCTATTGGTTTTGAGTGATGGGAAAGTCAAGCTAAATGTGAATTTATTGATCCCCATAACTCAACAATCTTGGGATAGAGCTTGCTTCAGTTTGAGGCTCAGCTCCAATGATGCATCCATTTCTGGGTTCTGCTGCTGCTTTGCAGATTACCTTCTCCAGCCAGCTCTTTCCTTATTGACACAAGGTGGCTGTTGCAACTTCAGTGTCAGATTCTTTCTTGGAACAAGAAAAAGCCAAAGGTGAAAGTTAAAGCTCATGAATTCAGTTTTTGTTACGTGCCCACATGAACCACATGCTCAGTACTCCCCCGACCACCACCCAAGGAGTCGGCATGAGCCTCCCCTACCCCTAAAAAAAATCAGGACAAAGAATATTTTCCAGAAGCGGAGTGAGTAGATACTGAGAGGCCACAATCACAATCAGTGTTTACTATCTCTACCATCCCCACCACTTAAAGATCATTGATCTCTCAGATACAGAAAAAGCATTTGACAAAATTCAACGTTTATTCATGGTAAAAACTTGCAACAAAAGGGTATAGAAGGAATGTATTCAGTATAACAAAGGCCATGTATAACAAGCCTCCAGCTGATATAATCAATGGTGAAAAGTTGAAAGCTTTGCCTCTAAGATCAGGAAAAAAAAAAAAATGCCTGCTCTCAACATTTCGATTCAACATAATTAATACTAGAAGTCCTAACCAGAGCAGTCAGTCAGGCAAGAAAGAGAAATAAAAGGCAGTCAAATCAGGAGTAAGACGTAAAACTGTTTGCAGATAGCATATTGTTATATATAAAAAAATCCTAAAGATTCCACCAAAAAAACTATTGGAACTAATACGTTCAATAAAATTGCAGAAGACAAAATTAACAGGAAAAAAATCAGTTTTATTTCTATACAATGACAGTGAATTACCTGAAAAAGAAAGAAGATAATCTCATTTATAATGACATCAGAAAGAAGAAAATATTTAGGTATGAATTTAACCAAGTAAGTGTGAAAGATCTGTATACTAAAAAGTCTAAGACAATGAGGAAAGAAATTGAAGAAAACATAATTAAAAGGAGAGATATCTGATGTTCATGGGTTAGAAAAGTTAATGTTGTTAAAGTGGTGATACTACTCAAATCCATCCTTAGATTCAGTGCATTCCCTATCAAGATTCTAATGGTATTTTTTACCGAAAAGGGGGGAAAAACACCAAAATTCATACGGAGCAACAACAATTAAAAAAAAAAAAAGACCCTGAATAGCCAAAACAGTCTGAGAAAGCAAACAAAGCTGGAGGTATCACACCTCCTGATTTCAAACTATATTAATAAAATAGTATGTTACTGGCATTAAAAACAGACACATAGACAAATAAAACAGAATCAAGAGCCCAGGAAAAAAACCCATACATATACAGTCAATGAATGTTTGACAAGGGAGCCTGGAATACTTAATGGAGAAAAGATAGTCTCTTCAATGAGTGCTGCTAGAAAATTGGATATTCACATGCAAAATAATGAAAGCGGACCCATACCTTACACCACTCACCAAAATCACCTCAGAGCAGATTGAAGACTTAAGTGTTAGACCTGAAACCATAAAACTCCTAGAAGAAAACATTGGTATCTTTGACATTGGTATTGACAATGATTTTATGGATATGACACCAGAAGCGTAACAATAAAAGCAAAAAGAAACAAGTGGGACTACATCAAACTGAAAAGTTCCAATCAGCTGAAAAGAAACAATCAGCAAAATGAAAAGGCAGCCTTTCAAACCATATATCTGATAAAGTGTTAATATCTAAAATATATAAAGAACTACAACTTCACAGCAAAAATAAAAATAATAATAATGTGGTATAAAAATCGGCAAAGGACCTGAATAGACACATTTCCCAAGAAGATATACAAATGGCCAACAGGAGCATGAAGGGGTGCTCAACATCATTCGTTATCAGGGAAATGCAAATCAAAACCACAATGAGATGATCACTTCACACTTGGTAGAATGGTTACTATCAAAAAGACAAGATAAGTGCTGGTGAGGATGTATAGAGTAAAGGAAATCCTTATATGTGCTTGGTGGGAATGTAAATTAGTACAACCACTATGGAAACAGTATGGCGTTTCCACAAAAAATTTAAAAAAGAACTACCTTATGATCTTCCAGTTCCTCTTCTGGACATATTTCCAGAGGAAATGTAATCATTATCTGGAAGAGATACGTGCATTTTAATGTTCATTGCAACATTGTTTACAATAGCCAAGACATGGAAACAGCCTGTCATTTACATCAACATGAATGACCTTTAAGGGTATTATGCTAAGTGAAATAAGACAGAGAAAGACAAATACTTTATGATCTCAGTTATGTGTGGAATCTAAAAGAAACCAAATTCATAGAAGCAGGGCAGATTGGTGGTTGCCAACGGTGAGGGAAATGGGTGAAGGTGGTCACAGGGTACAAACTTCCAGTTATATACAGCATATAATAACATGGTGACTATAGTTAACACTTAGGTAATACTGTATTGTGTATTTGAAATTTGCTGAGAGTAGGTCTTAAAAGTTCTCACCACACACACGCACACACACATACACACACAGAATTGTAACTATGTGAGGTGATAGATGTGTTAACAGTATTTTACAATATGTAGGTATATCAAACTAAAAATCACTGGCACACCTGGTGAATTTTATAGCTTTGTGTTCAGTATTTGTTGCTTTCAGAGAAATTCTGCCCCAAATAGCTCATCTACCTTTTACAGTATTTTGATTAAAGGACTGATCACATAGTTTAGTGCCCACTTCTGGAATCTTTTTGTATTTCAGTTAAGTCCTATACCTTAATTAATGGGATAAATATCACAGTTTCCACATATTGTTCAAACTTTCTGTAAGTAATTGAGCCCCTGCCTATCAGATCAATTTAGATTTTTCACCTTAGTTTTCTATCTGGCTTTGCTAATTGGACTCGAAATTATTACTGTATTCCTGTGGCCTTTTAATTCTGTCTCTTCCCCTTATTGACTTGTCTCATAAGCACAGTAATTTAACTTTCCATCGCCTTGAAAGGAAATGAGCTTTTTATGAACAAATGTTTCTTGGAATGTGGTCGACCTTTTATATGAAATACAATAGGGAATAAGATGCAGAGTAAGGCACTGAATTCTTAAGAGAATTCATTTCCCATTTACTTATTTCTTTTGAGTTTGGACATGAAGCTGCTGTGGCATTTACCTCACTCACAGTAGATAACTAAAATTATATAAGTGATATGAATATTTAACTCTCATTTATATCCCATTATATTTAAATCCCATTGTCTCTTTTTCTTCCTATTAGCCAATAAGGTAAATGAAGATGACTCAAATAGGGTACACCAGTTCCAAGGCAATGCAGGAAAATGCTAACCTCAGTAAAATGTTGAGCCTACTTTAGACATACCTTCTTCTAGATTTCACTTGGGTAAAGAAAAGGAATATTCCTTCTCATTTGTGATTTTAAGTACACCTGGCAGAACCTAAAAACAACATGGATCTTCCATGGTGCCTCCTGGGGATGAACCACTTTTTATTACAAGCAGTATGAACAGAACATTGAAATAATACTGCACATTGGCAGGGAGAGAGGAGACACATTTCAGGTTTAAAAATAACTCTCCCATGTGCATACACACATTTTTTCACTCTTCAGTTCTTTTCTTTCTCCCTTTTTTTTTCCATCTTTCATGTTCTATACAAAAATATAGAACCTGTTAAATATCCTATAAAGTAACCCCATTTGCACATTTAATTTGTTTATGCTGAAAGAGAGAACAATCCAGAGAGATATAAATAGTGTGGGTGACTGTGGTTCCATTCCATGCACATATGCCCTAGACTGAGCAGTAAAGTGGGAAATTGCAGTCTGCTGTTTTTTCGTGAGGTCTCAATTCCCGGTGTATCTCACAGTGTGAATATAATGCTGACTTGAGTGTGATTCCTTAATTTAAAGATACATATTTTATGTGTAAAATAGCCCTGTACATAAACCAGCCAGTTTCCCTAGTATTTAACTGGAGAATCGTAATCTGTTCAGTGATGGAAAAAAAGCCTAGCTACCATGGAGCTCTTGAGTGGCAGAATGTAGTATGTCTGCCTCCAAAAGGACACATAAGTACTGTTTACTGTAATTTGAGGGTAAGCCGAAGGATTTTTTAGGGTAATTGTGAGATCTTTGTAATCCAATCATCAGCACTGTATCATCGTCCTCACCATCATCTCTTTTCCCTAATGATTTGGGTATCGGGGTTATAAGGTTTCTCTTATATTTTCAAAAGAGTTTTGTCTTTTCATGGGTTCTTTTCTGTGTAGCAGTTCGATAATAGTCTTCCACATTCTGAAAAAAGAGACATGTGACCCATCAAATCCAATTCTAGAAATTTATCCTAAAGGAATATTCCTATAAATGGAACAAATAGATGTACAAATATGTTCACTGCAGGGTTTTTTATAAGAATAAAAATAGGAACAAAAACCTAAATTCCCAACGGTGATGGACTATTTAATAATGCCACTATGGTATAGTGTTGTACTGAGCAGCCATTAATAATAATGACTGAAGTCTATCAAGGGTTTATTGTATTAATGTAGATAATTCTTAACAGCCATAGGATTTTGTAGATCTGTCTTAAAAATGTCTAATATAATGTATTTGTATGTATTTAGTTGATGTATGCATGCTTACATTTTTTAATTTATGAATATATTTAGTATATCAGAAAAAAATCTGGAAGAATATAACAAAAATGTAAGTAATGATAGCTGAAGGAGGAGAAAGTGATTTTTTTAAAAAAAATCTTGTATTTTCTAATTTTTCTAAATTAGAGATACTACTTCATTTGGACCATTAATTACAGATTCTCTAACTTTGTGCTGTCAGTAGAGTAACCGCTGACCATGTGACTATTCAATTAAAAAGTTATTGAAATTAAATAAAATTTAAAATTCAGTTTCTCACTAGGACTTGCTACCTTTCCAGCTCTCATAATGGACACAGCAGAGACAAAAGATTTCTGTCATCACACACGGTTCTGTTGGACAGTGCTGCCTGACTCTTGAACTAAAAGTTGTAGTCCAGCAACAATTCCTTGTAGAAACTTTAAAACATTTCCACCCTACTACATACAGCGATGTAATTGCTGCATCTCTTTTACTACATACGTGCAGCAGGCAGTTGAGAATTGTTACAACAGCTGTCTGTTAGAAGAGATTGTGAAATCGGAAGCTGCATTAGGGTTTACCTTCCAGATAGGCTGTGGCGGCTGGTAGCAGCATAACCATGGACTTCTGTAGTTTTTGATCTCTTCTAACATCTGCTATCATACAAATATCAATTGTCACCATCTTCTTTTTTAATGGATGGAAAGATTGAATCTCAGAAAGGCTGTTCAAAAGGCACAATACGTCTCTTACTCCAGAGGTCTCTTAATTCACAGGAATACTGATGAAGAAATAACTTACTAGTATCAGTGGCTTGCCCTAAGGACAGTAAACACTGAATGAAGGGTTAGAGCTTGTCTGTCTCTTCTTGAGTATGTATGTTAGGGTTTTTTGTTTGTTTGTTTTTTCCATTTTGTTTGTTTTTCTACTGCACCTCCATCTTGGTGGTAAAAATTAGAAAAGTGAGGACATACCATTACATTTCCGTACCTCTTCCACACATTTTAACTCTCACAAGTTGATATTCCAGTAAATGAGAAAAGGACAATTTTTTCCCATGCATGTAACTTGATTGCTATAACTATAAATACTGTAAATATTTTTAGCTCACTATTGGCAAAATCATTTGTTTCTCAGTAAAAGCATATATAAGCTTTGTTTATGTGAAAAATTGCAATAAATATGATGGCAAGATGTTTTACTAGGATATACTATAAAATACTGGAAGTCTTTTTTTTTTTTTAATTTCAGTTAGTTAACTTGATGTCTTAATTTCTGAGAAAAATTGGGGTATATTTAACCCCCACTGAACATTGTTTCCTCCTTCTAGAAACTACAGCTTTCTTTGAAAGGTAACTTCTGCAGTTTGGTCACATCCTGAGGTACATCCAGGGGTGGTTGACTTCTTGCCTGTTACGTAGTGTTCTGCTCCTGGTGGTTGTGCCTCCTCCTTCCTGCAGGACTTAGGTCATGGTCTGAGGTACTTCTAAAGTGCTGGCCTGGTGGGGTCTGCTCACCAGCTTTCCTTGTGGCAGTAGTTAGGGCAGTTCTTGTTAGTACCCTGTGGCTTCATCTCCATTTCTTTTCTTTTGTCTCCTTTCCTCTCTCCCTTTTTTCTTCCTTTCCTTCTCCTATTTTTGTGGCATTATTCCCTACTCTCTACATCTGCTTTACTCCTGCTTGTTCTTTCCACCCAAGGGCAGCATTCTCCAATGAGTCGAGCTAGCCTGTTAGAGTCACCTTGAACTTAATGGTTATTGAGGTCTGCTTTAGTTTTTTCCCTCACTTAAAAAGGTGTACATATGAAGGGTACCTGGGTGGTTCAGTCAGTTGAGCATCAGGCTCTTGATTTTGGCCCAGGTCATGAACTCACGGTTCATGGGTTCGAGCCCTGCCTTGGGCTCTGAGCCTATTTAGGATCCTGTTTCTCCCTCTTTCTCTGCCCCTCCCCACCCCCTGCTTGTGCATGCTTGCACTCTCTCAAGTAAATATTAAAAAGTAAATAAATAAAATGTGTACATTTGAGATAGCCTTAAAAAATCCGTTTAATTTTATTATCCTCATTAATCACTTCAGTGTTAGAATTTTTAATCAGCCTCAAATATGGTCTGGGTTTAGCCACTCCGATATCCAGGCTAAATCATCTCAGCAGGACAAATTATTTTTGTAGACTTGAAGGTTAATTTTATCCTTTCTTGAAATTCTTTTCTTACATCAAGCACATCTTTTCCTTAAGGGTTTAGTAGCTTACTTATCTGAATATTGATTATGGGTCAGAGAAAAAACTCAACCAAAAATATTACTGCTGTCATCTACTTTTATTCATCACTTTTGTGAATGAATGTTCTGTTAATCAGATTCAACATGTGGGTAACCAGTATTTGGTGAATTAAAATAGAAGAAAGTATGGCCATATTTTTTTCACCGGTAACAACTGCGGATACTTCAAGACTTTCAGTCCTTCATTTTCAGTTTAGTTATTAAGAGTTGCTAGTGTTTGCAAAGACCTAATATATAGCTAGAATGCTGATAGGGCTGTGTTTACTACTTGCTTGCAAAAACATTTATTGAAATGTACTAAATATTTACTATAATGTACTAATGTTCTACCAAACTTACTAAAATGTTTAAAAATATATTGCCATTTGAAATATTGTACATCTGAAATATTGTACATTTCACAATTTCTTCAGCATTTATGTTACTCCCTACTAACACTTTAGTTGTAAAAATTAATTTATTGTTTAAGAAAAAGAATGGGTTTACTTTTCAGTTCCATATTGTGAGTTTAAAAATTGAAACTTGAGGGGCGCCTGGGTGGCGCAGTCGGTTAAGCGTCCGACTTCAGCCAGGTCACGATCTCACGGTCCGTGAGTTCGAGCCCCGCGTCGGGCTCTGGGCTGATGGCTCAGAGCCTGGAGCCTGTTTCCGATTCTGTGTCTCCCTCTCTCTCTGCCCCTCCCCCGTTCATGCTCTGTCTCTCTCTGTCCCAAAAATAAATAAACGTTGAAAAAAAAATTGAAAAAAAAAAATTTTGAAACTTCAAATTATGAACAGAATCTGAAGATACTTTGGGGGCTTTAATAAATTGCAGAAAATATATTTCTTTACAACTTAGTTAATAAATGACTTGAAAATGAAGTATTTAAAACCAAGTCTAGGATTCTTTCTGGACAAACACTCTTCACTCCCCAAAAAGCACATATTAGTTTATTACACAAAAGTTCAGTTTTTCATGTTGAAATATGACTTCATTTAAATTAAACTTACATTTTCTTTTTCTTAGAAACAGTGGGGAAAATTTCAAAAAAATGTATTATATTCTATAAAATAGACATAGATAAAATAAATTATTGGAAAAAAAACTATCCACTTAAAATTACACTAAACATTTTTCTAGAAAATTGGACAACCTAATTTAAATGACAATATGGTTTTGCATTCTTATTCTTGATAACTGTCATTGGTTCCTCTCATTTACTATTTGTGGACTGTCTTTCTCAGTAGAAGACATGCAAAGACTGCATTATTGTGGTTTTCATCTCAGTAATATGGACATGTCTTAATTGAATTTACAGTAACTTGAATCAGATTGTAGTATCAAAATTAAAATCTGATTAAATTTTTAAATTTTATATTTTGATTTTGAGGTTTGGTAAATTATCAGTGTAAATGCCAGCATTTGCATTCCTTTTTCTTTGCTAATATGACATTGTTGCTCTATGACTTTGGATGATTTTACCCTCTGCTTTTCATCATATGTCTGTATCCTCATTTGAAGAGAAATTTTTATGCCCTCCTTCGGAGAGAGCTTTTCTGTCACCAGTTTGGGACAAATATATTTCTTGTGTGTTTTTAAAGAAAATTAGGTCAGTATTAATTTCCCAGGATAATATTTACATTTATAAATTTCTGTTTTCTGTGGTGGAGGTGAAAGGCAGATTCATGAGAAATAAGTTTATTGTTTAATGTCAGTAAACAAGTAAATTTGTCAGTAAAAACAAGAAAGTAATGAAAATAAAAATTAAGACAGCAATAGAAAAAAAAAGTTGTCTTTCTCTTTACAGAAGTTTAAGTCTCAACAGTACTATAGATCAAGTCAGTGATAAAGTCATATGTAGTCCAGTGCTCATCCAGTGAAATCTGCTACAGTGTGGTACAATCATGGGTCCTGTAGCCAAGCCAAATTGTTTTGTAGGTCTCTTTGGGAAGTAAAGACATGCATGAGCCAGCATATCTGTCCCTGTGACTCAAACAAATGAAAGGCTGAATAATGGTGGCCTTGCCAACCTGCTGCAAAACATGCAGATTAATGAAATAGACACTGGTAAGAGACAGCCTTATTAATTACAGAAGTGTAACCATGGCCTTCTGTCAGTTCAGGCTCTTTTTATTACTTATAGTATAAATCACATACTATGTGGAGTACAAGTGGAATATAAACTGTAATGCGGTGCGTGCTCTTTGGTGATTTGCAAACTTTTGAGGACAGAATTTACCTAGTATCTAATAATTTACCTCTTTCCCACAGGACAGTAGAATTAATGTACGAATTAGTAGACTTGAGTAATCCTACTAGCAAACCCATATTCATTATTGAGATAAACAGATTTCCCAAGATAAGGATTATTTTCCTCCTGTGGTATCTACAAACTTATTAAAAGCAAAACAAACCCAGAACCATAGACTGTTAATGATTTTGATAAGACCACTTATAAAAATGGTCATTTCACAGTAAAGGAGAGAGATGTTCTCAACTGAATATCTAGAAAGGCTGTAGGTAAATGTCTAGCCCGTATAGATTTAGTCAGTCATGTGATTTAGGGGATGATCCCTGATCTGAGCCCATCCCTACCACTAACTTCAGGCAAGTTCTTAACCTCTCTGAGTTTCTAATATGTAGAATTGCTCTAATACATACTCTTAAGGAGTTTTGGTGGTAAAATAGGCCTGTAGAAGATGATACCTATTATTTCCAAGTTCTTGTCTTAATCCTCACTACAGAACTCATGAAGCAACATATTTTTATTGCTCCTATAATTCATTAACTGAAGAGGTAGTAGGGCTGAAAAAATATAGAGGTTTTTGCATGCTTTCTTAAAATAAGTTATAAACAAGAGTGACACATTTATTACTTAATGACTGGGGTTATTTTACAGATTGTAGAGTTCCTACTCACCTGAGCAATTTTAAGTGAATTTACTATGTAGAAACACAAACATCGGCCAGAAAAAAGTGGGAAGTGGAAGTTGATAAAGATGAAGAATTATCCTTATTTCTCAGCTGAAATAATCATATGGGGTTTTTGTAACATGTGGAATAAGAACAAATGAGGTTTTAGACAAAATAAAATGCCATACACCACTAAAGCATAAACTCTGCCTCACTTCAAGAGGACAGTAGTGTATGAGTACTCTACATAGATTCACACTGGAATAATTTAAAAATATAGAGTAACTTGTTAGAGTGTAAGACTGTGCATACTTGTGTTACTGTACCTTAGGATTCCTCATTTAGTGTAAAACTCAATGCCAACACATGAAATGCTGAGAGAAATTTATAATATCCTGAGAGAATAAAGCAATAATTTAGAAATACATAATGAAAAATTTAGCAACAGATAGGAGATTGAGAATTCAAATTTGTTTTCGAATTGGTAATATATAAATGATCCACAGAAAGGAGAATAGGCCTTTTTAGCACTTTAGAATGAAGTGTGTGGTATGATAACATGCGCAGACATCTGGTTTGCTTTTAGCAAAAATAAGAGCACTCCCTTCATCTGGTGTATGTTTGTACATACTTCGAAAACCAGAGTATCACAGCTAAGTTATGTTACTCAGTTTTCATTTTAATTAATCCCTATTTGTGCTTTTGAAAAGTAAACATTTTAAACTATTTAGAAAAAAATATGTCAGTATTTATGGTATTGGAAATCCTGGAATAATTTTAATTTTTTTTTTTTAGATAGAAGATCAGAACTGTATGAGTCAGGATTTAAATTTAAGTCTCATCAGTTATTAGTATCATAAAATTTTGATTCCAGGAATTCTAAATAGAAAAAAAATACTGTACCTTCAAGAGGCTCTCTATGATGACTAACTTCTGTGCTGGGATGTTCTGTAAACATCATCCTAAGTGTGAGCAAAGAATGATCTCCAACAGTTAGTTCCGTGTCCTCTAGCAATTCTGTGCTGTCTGGGAAAGGGGAAATATCCAAAAACAGGGTAAGTTTCGCACATCTTCACGAATTACAAGTACCTTAGTAAGCCATATGTTTTAAGTAAAAACAAACAAACAAAAACAAAACAAAACAAAACAAAAAACTAGAATGGTTAAATACATAAGCATTTTCTCCCATGAATTGGACAAGCAGCAGCACTTGGGCTTTGAGGCAGCTGGGCTGGATGGCTCTGTGACTTCCCCAAAACAACATGGGTACTCCAGGGGTTTTTGCTAAATCAACCCAATCAGTTCATCACTGGATACCGGCCAGATCAGGCCAATAGAATTTCTAAGCATTCTGTCACAAGACTGTGAGTGGGGCACGAATATAGAGTACAAAGAGGAGCAAACTAGTTTGGGGAGGTTCCTGGAGTTAGAAGGAATAGAGTTGTTGATCACCCATCTTTTCACACCACTGCCTTCCAGCTTCTGCCGTATTTAATCAATAAGGGGAAGGAGCAACAGACGGGCCTCTTTTAGGGACAAGAATTTCTTGGCTCCAAATATATGCTCTTTCCTCTCTAAACGAGTGTGTCTTCTTCTAAACTTCTGTGTCTTCCTTGCCAAGTAGAAAGAACTTCTAGAAATAAAAAAATAAAAAGATTTAGTTTCAAACGTAACAGTGGGCTTCTCAACAGAATCATAGGTTATTTTCTGAGGAAACTGGGATAAGTAACCAGGGCCTCAGCTATTGTTTTCTTGGTGACCTCATCCAACACTCCAGCCTTTGTGACCCGCTTTTACAACCTCACATACCCCACTCCTTCTCAGTATGCCCTGAGTGGTCAGCAAGGGGTTTCATTAGCATGGAGGCACTTATTCTATGCTTTCTGTCTGCATTGGAGTAGACGCCACAGTGACAATATGGGCTCGTGCAAGAGAAAGCATAGGTTAGGACGCTAATTCCCCAAATCAGTGATGTTTTCTAGCAAGAGCCCCATGATCCAAAACATTGATTTATTAAGTTCCCTAGGCTGGGGATCAGATTAGGGCATTCATTTGTATCCTCATGTGATTTAATAAAGATGACACATTGGCAGGCTTACCAGGAGTGAGCCCAGAACATTCTTTTTGGATAATGGCACACACGAGTGCCTCCTTGCAAGGCAGTAATAATGTCTGAGGCCACCCTATTTTGGAAGACAGCTTTTCTCATTAAAGAAATTTCAGTGTTCAATAAGGATAGGATTTGTTAGCTATCATTTAAGGCTTGGTGCATAAACATAATGGCTTCTATGTGTGCTATAATATCCAAAAGGCCAGTGAAGGGGACAAAGACAGTGGCCAAATAATTGTACCAGTGGAATACAAAATGTGCCCATCTCACCTTGAGGAGAGGGTGATCGGTAGTTGTTACCATGAGGCAAATTCTCCCCTGTGCAGGGAAAACCCATAATGCAGTGGCCCAGCCACCCAGGTGGAAGCCATGACCAGAGATTGGTGCCACATGGCAATGGGTCCCATTTGGGGCCATCCAGTAAATACCTGGGTGGCAAGATGGGTCGGTGTCATTGAAACACTGAAATTTCTCTAATGAGAAAATAGGACAGTATGACTACATAGCTGCAGTGATATCCATCATATATTTCTGGTATAACTGGATTGGTTCTGTTTAGAGTGGTTTTTCCATTCCCATCATAGGGTTGCCCAGGTGCTCAAATGTCCATAACCCAGGATAAGCCACATAAACCCATCCCAAGTCAGAGTGTAGCCATCCATAACTCCACTAGTGGTATTTTTAGGATTGTTCTAGTCAACAGTTTGACTGAAAAAGAATACCCAAGCCTCATGTTGTTGATAGTGTGTGCCACAGGCCAGGTCTCAGGATCAATATTGGTAATATTAGATGAATTAAGAATATTAGTCTGAGCTTGTTCTTCCATAATGTACTATTTTAGGGCTTTTCAGTCCCCTTACAGGAGTTGTAATGCCCAGCATGGCAATCATGATGAGCTAGAGAAGGGCAGCCCACACACTCAAGAGTTGGATTGATTTCTTTGTCAGACAAATGAGTGGGCTCACTACAGAAAGGTATTTCCATTAGGTGCCCATTCCACGACCAGGACCACAGTAGCAGCAGAATTTTAAGGCCATAAAGACAGATGTTTAATAGGAACTTATACGGGGAGTTCTTCCTCTTCATTTATGGCCTTATCCCTAGATGTTGATGTGGCTGCAGCTTTAGGAATTTGACCAGTCCCTGAGCACTATACATGTTGCCTGGGGGAGGAAGCACGGTCAGGCATGAGATGGAGGAGGGGTGGGGTATGCCAGACCAGCACCCCCACCTTCTACTGTGGGAGGAGGTCATCAAGATGTGACGGTCCTTGGACCCAGGAGCTGGACACTGGCACCTGGAGGCTCTCCACCCGCTCCCCGGTGCTTAGAATGTGCATTCTGCTTGCCTTTCCCACTCTCAGAAGCTGCCCCAAGGATACACTCTTGAGATAGAAATGTGGTATTGAGGCTGTCTGGACTGGGTACATGACTGAACCCAGTTAAGGCCTCTGTATAAGTTTTCAAGATTGTGGTGGGCACGTGTGGAAAACCAGTCATCTGGCAGCCACCCAAGACAGGCCCCGTAAGTTCCCATGTTCACTAAAACAGCCACCTACCAATTTAGAATGGTCTGCCTCTGTTGACTCTCCTGCTCTCTACATGTGGAGCGCAGTTTCACATTACACCCAGGAAGCCCTACAACAATTGGTAAAGATGCTCTTTTTGTTATTTATATTCCCCTGTAAGTCTGCTCTTTAAGTTTATTTTTATCGATTCTAGAGCTCTCCGTTAGAGAGGAGAGTTTAGTTGGCTTTGAGCCTATGAGTCAGGTTAGTGCTCTGTATCCCCCTTAAGGGACCCCACACTTCTGAGATTTCTTTTTTAACAGGCCGACTGCCCTTCTGTCAGGCCACCTCTGGAGGTTTCTTCCTAACTAAATGCAATTTTATGATTTTTATATTTTGTGAATTTCACTCTTAGTGACAAGTTATTTAGCTGCAAAAGTGCTATACTAGACAAAGGACTTTAGCTATAGAGAATGAAAATACTTTTTGATGTATTTTATGTAGGGGAAGAAATGTGAAGTGGTAAGTGTTGAGTAAGGGTTGATGTTTTGCCCTGTATGCAGACGGAATAACCGCGTAGGAATTTCTGTAATGGTTTATTTGGGATCCTGAGTATGTGTGAGAATGAAATGTAGAGCTTTTATGCTGAGTTAATTATACTCTAAAAATGCTTAGCATTAACTTTTATCAAGTTTTCATTTTCATAAGGTGTTTGTAATGATTAATATGAGCAAAGTGTGTATGGACACCTCTTAGCATATAGTAATTACTCTACAGATGGTATTTCTGCATTCCTCTTCCATCAGTACAGAGTTCTGCCATCAGTTCCAACTCTCAAATTGAGTTTCACACGCTCAATAAATTTTAGCCATTACCCTTGTTTTTCGATCCTGTATTTTCTTATAAAGCAGCCTTTGGTTTTCATCATAAGAAACAAAAAGTGAAAGGGGTATTTTAGGAATATAATTCTACACACATAAAGGACAATAGAGAATTAAGACAATGCAGCCAATTCAAACAAAAACATTTAACTCAAACTATTTCCTAATTCTCCTGGTTTTTCACAATTAGCAAGATAATTCAATGCTTCTGTGTAGTAGCTGAGAATTAACATGAATGTCTTTCATGTCGTGCTCCCTCAACAAATGTATGTGGACTCCTTGGTAATTGCTTTCCTTCTTGAAGTCATACATCACGTGTACACGTAGAATTTCTTTTTTTGTCATGTGTGAAAGGTCCTGCCGTTACACTGAAAATTGAGCAAGTATGTCCTGGTGTTGCATGCATGCGCTTGAAATGAACCAAGGGTAGTTTTTAGGGGTTTCCATTTGAACATCAAAGGACATGGTGCTGTCCAAGTGCCTGCATCAAGTCAGCAGCCTAATTTACTATTAATAATACATTGGTGTGGCAGGCTTCTCTTTGCAGTCTTTTTTGCTCAAGGCTGTTAACAGCTCAACTTGTTCCTCTACTGTTAAAAAATTGATCAGCTTTCTTTCCCAGACATTTGGAAAAGGAAAAATAAGATGTATTCATACTCTTTCGAAAGTCTTTATTCACTTCAACCCTTCCTTCTCCAGAAACAGTTTGAGGGCTTAATTAAACATATAGAGAGGAAATAGATACAATACACTTTAAGGTTAGTGATTTAATGGGGGCACCTGGGTGGCTCAGTCAGTTTAGCGTTCAACTCTTGACATCTGCTCGGGTCATGATCTCACAGTTTGTGGGTTCGAGCCCCACATCGGGCTCTGCACTGACAGTTTGGAACCAGCTTGGGATATTCTCTCTCTCTCTCTCTCTCTCTCTCTCTCTCTCTCTCTCTCTCTCCCCCCCCTGCCCTCCCACCACACACACTGTGCTCTCTTTCTCTCTCAAACTTTAAAAAGCGTTTTTTTTTTTTAAGTTAGTGATACAAGAAACAGAACAAAGTAGGAAAAGATAAGATGACTCAGGCACAAGGAACTTGAATCTAGTAGTGTCTATATGAACTAGGTCACAAAGCCTTTTTGAAAGTGGTCACAGCACCCCTTACATTAGTATCTCTTGAACTGACTCAGAGCCCTGGCTAGGGGTGGCTGGATGGGGCTGAGTGGGTAGGGGCGAGCAGAGGGCATGGATACGTGGAAGTATTGCATTTGTTACAGTCTCTGAATGATTCTTAGTCATACTAAAGTTTGAGAATCCTGTTGCTCCTAAAGTTTTTGCAGCCAGTGAAAAAAGGCAGACATGTCATGTTACATGAGTCACCACGTCCCTAAGAAAAAAACTAATCAGTTGCCTCAGAGAAGCAAAAGAATTCCTCCTTACTAAGACCAGAGAGAATTCCTTTCTGGGTGCTTTGGTGGTAATGTAATACCCATCCATATTAATCTACCATTTCATAGTAAGT